CAAAAACATTAAATAGAAAAAAAAGATAGTCTCTTCAACGAATGGTGCTGGAAAAATTGGATTTCCATCTGCAGAAGAATGAAACTGGACTCCACCTCATCCCATGTACAAAAAAGAACTCAAGATGGGTCAAAGGCTTAAACATAAGTCTGAGGGGGATAAAGATCATCAATGAGAAAATAAGGACAAGCACAAGGAACCTATTATTGGGCATAGACATACTCCCAAACATAGTGACCAAAGCATACATAGAAGCCAAAATAGACTAATGGGTAGACTAAAGTAAGATACCTATATACATCAAAAGATCATGAAAAGAGCTGAAAGAGAACCTGAACACTGGGAAAAAGTCATCAAGAATGATGCACTGGAAAAAGGAGTAATCTCTCAAATCTACAAAAAACTGCAAGACCTCGATGAGAAAAGAACAAAGAACCCAATTAAAAATTGGGCAAGGGACATGTGGTAGTTTCATAATGTGGTGTCAACATGAGACTATTAAGAGTGAAAGGGTGGAGGTTAGCCTGTCAATCAGGTCACAGCTTGATTGCCTTATTTAGAGGTGCTAAGGAGATAAATAGCTCACTGGAGGCCAGGCATACTCTCTCTGTGAGACTTTCCATCAGATGTAGATACACTGATGCAGTCAGAGCCTTAGAGCTGTTGGAACCTATGCACTGAGGTGCTTCCACCACCACTGGATCCACAAGACTTTCCACCCATTGGCCTGTGATCTTCCTGCATTCGGGGCCATTGCTTGTGTTGTGTGAGTCTAAAGAGGAATTTATAGACTGGTGTGGGCCATATGGGCTAATATAGGACGTATGGACTTGATCTGGACTGGGCTTAGATGTTTTCTTAATGTACAATTGCTCTTTGATATAAAATTCTCTCTTATACACAGTACCTCTGGATTTATTACTTTAGTCAACCCAGACTAACACAGGACATAAACAGACAATACACCAAAAATGACATTCAAATTGCTAACAAACTCATGAAAAAATGCTCATGATCATAGCCATCTCAAAGACATCACTAAAAAATATTGACAATGACTATCCAATTAAAACAAACAAACAAACAGAAAAACAAATTCTGGAGAGAGTGCAGAGAGACTCAAATGCTCATCTATTGTTAGTGGGTCTATAAATATGTCCAACCACATGGCTCTTCCTCATACAATTGGGAAAATAAATTCCATATGATCAAGAAATACTTCTGAGTATATACTCTAAAGCATTGAGAAATATCACGAACAGATACATTCACTTCTATGTTTATATAAGAACACCTCTCACAATGCCAAGAAGTTGGAAAAGTCTAAAAGCCCATCGGTATGGTGCCTGGCTATCAAAAGATAAGCATCTGGAGTCTTAAAGGCTTGAAAATAAACAAGTGGCCATCTAACTGAGAAGCAACAAAGTCCACATGGAAGAAGCACACCAGCCTGTGTGATCACAAGGTGTTGATGAGATCAGGCATCAGGCATCAAAGAACAAAAATCATATCATTGTGAATGAAGGGGAGTGCTGAGTGCTGTAGACAATTGGATATCCCTTTATAGAAAGGTCACAAGGAAGAGATGAGCCAGTCAGGGTGCAGTATAGCCCCATTGAAACTTACAACTTTCCTCCAGTTCTTTAATGCTTCCTCCCCACCCCACCCCCAATAATCATGATCCCAATTCTACCTTACAAATCTAGCTAGATCAAAGCACATACATGGTTACAGATAAGAGCTGGAAAACAGGGAATACAGGACAGATAAATCCCTCAGGACCCATATTAAGAGTGGTGATACAAGGAGGGTAAGAGGAAGGTGGGGAGAGAAAGGGGGAACCAATCACAATGATCTACAGATAACCCCCTCCCAGGGGAACAGACAGCAGAAAAGTGGGTGAAGGGAGACATTAGTCAGTGTAAGGCATGAAAACATAATAATAATTTATAAATTATCAAGGGTTCATAAGGGAAGGTGGGTTAGGGAGGGAGGGGAAAAATGAGGAGCTGATACCAAGGGCTTAAGTGGAAAGAAAATGTTTTGAGAATGATGATGGCAGCAAATGTACAAATGTGCTTGACACAATGGATGGAGATATAGATTGTGATAAGAGTTGTATGAGCCCTCAATAAAATGATAAAAAAAAACATCAGTAGAAGAATGGATAAAGAAACTCTAGAAACAATGAAATATGCATCACTAAGTAATTAAATAAAACCATGAAGCACCTCACAACAACGCTGGACCCAGAAAATATTATGCTGAGTGAAGTTATTCAACCACATTGTTGAGTAGCCACATTATTACACACATTGTATGAGATCAGCACCATAAGAGTGAAAACCAAAACAAGGACTTGCATACCGAAGGGAACAGACTTTGGGCTTCCCAAAGCTGTTGGCCGAGTGTGCACTGAAAGTACCAGGGACCGCCGACGAACAACTAGAGCTGTCTTGGACGAAGTACAGCCAGAATGCTTCTTAGAGCAAGATTGTCAAGACTTCGTCTCCGATACTTTGTACATGCTCCCAGCAGAGAGCAATCCCGGCATAAGGACATCATGGTTTGTAAAGAAGAGGGATATGACAAAAGAGGAAGTCTTCCGACAAGATGGATTGACACAGTGGCTGCAACAAATGTGCTCAAACACAAGATCAGTTGTGAGGATGGCTGTACATAGGGTCACTATGCGTTGCAACCGATTTGAGAGCATCTAATAATGATCACCACAAGGGGGTGGGGGTGGGGTGTCACCCCCGTAAAGGTGGGAAGATGAACTGATAGACCTGAAGTTGACTGGTATAGACTTGGGTGTAAAGGCACATGGAGGTCCATAAAAGGTGGAGGAGAAATCAGTGGGTAAGGGATTGGAGGTTGATGCGTGATTTGAATTGTTAAATGCAGAATTGTTAGTCTAAACTGTAAACTCCCCACTTAATTCACACAAAAATTCATTAAAAATATTAATTGATTTTAGAGACATGTTATTTAAACATGTACGTGTGTTATTTAAACATGTGTGCATGCGTGAACTGAAACTGTAGTCACATTTTTTAACCTTTTATTGTTCTGGTAGTTGTTCCTTCTTGCAACTATCTGCAAGTCTGAAATTATTTCTGAATAAAACATTAGTGTGTAATTTGATCAACATGTACCGTATTGTCTTTAAATACACGCACACAACCGTATTGGAGCAGATAAGAAAATGCTCCACCGATTGAAAGTTAAGGATAGTGTGTAATTTGATCAACATGTACCATATTGTCTTTAAATACACGCACACAACCGTTTTGGAGCAGATAAGAAAATGCTCCACGGATTGAAAGGTAAGGATAGTGTGTAATTTGATCAACATGTACCATATTGTCTTTAAATACACGCACACAACCGTATTGGAGCAGATAAGAAAATGCTCCACCGATTGAAAGGTAAGGAGCAAACCCAGAGCCCAGCTCCTCACGGCTATTACCAGGCTTACAATGGAACTGGAGATGAAGAGTCTTTGGAGATGAATTTAAGACTTTAAAAAGAAAAGAAAGAGAAGTTTGAGGGAGTGTAAATAATGCATCAGAGCGCAAGTCATTTGTATCTCAATTTTTAAAAAGTCACCTTATTTAAGATTTTAATTGATACTGCATTTAAAACCATCAACATGAAAGTGATCCAAGAGCCTATTACAGAATGCTTTTACTTCTGCATGGCTACTAAGCAGGAGTCCTTTCAGTTCCCATGTTAACAGTAAATTCCAGCTTCTTGTACGTGTTGACCTTTTTGATTTGCTCTTCTTTTGTCTATGTGGCCTGGGTTAAGCCCATTTTCAAAGTAAGCAATTAAGGCGGCAGTATAAACACTTTGGCTTTAAAAATTTTAATTCTAGCATCTCAATGTAAATGTGCTGAAATTAATTCTTAAATTGCCATCTCAACTTCCAATCAGACATATTTGGGAAAAACAACAACAATAACAACAACAAAACCACCCAAAAACTGTGTTGGTGCCATTTAGAGCTTGAGCTCTTAATCTTGAAGCAAGAGTTTCCCTCGCTCCTGTGTAATGACTTTGCAATGAGAAGATGTTAATTAACGAGAAATTTCCTGTCACTTACCATCCGGAATTGCTCTCAGCATCAAAAGTGATTTATTGATCTGCCTGGTAATTTGATCAGCATTCCCTTGAAATCTGCTTACTGTTCTTTTCAATCCCCTCAGTTCCAGTGCAGTACCTAGTTGAGTGAGGGAGGGAAGCGAAAGCGTCCTTTCAGGTTGGCTACTACATAGTGGCTGGTAATTGCTTGCTTTATCGCTACGGATCCCACCTCCAGAATGGACAGATTTTCCGAGACCACCATGGTATAAAGTTTTGCCAGCAGACAATGGTATGGAAATTAAGACGGAGTTTTAGCTTGTCAGGTTACTTTCTACTTTGATGGTTGTCCTCACTAATATTTCTTCTTAAAGCTTATGTGCTATTTCATTAGCGCTCAAGGTCGAATTACTGTGTTCAAATCACTCAACATTAATCAGACTATTCATACCAAATTCTGCCTACTTCTCTAGGTTACAAAGCTCTGAATGTGGGGTTCTGCCTCAAAATCTCCCACCTAGTTTCCTGCCTGTCTGCTCCTTTTGATCTTATCTGTTACTATTTCAATGGTTGTTCATAATCATATTTAGATTCTGAAGACATGGCTTAATTTTATTTTATTTTATTTTTTTATTTTTTTTAATCAATTTATTGGGGCTCATACAATTCGTCACAATACATAGATCAATTGTGTAAAGCACATCTATACATTTGTTGCCCTCATCATTCCCAAAATTTTCTTGCCTCTTGGGTTCCCGGAATGCGCTCATTTTCCTTTTTTTTTTAATTTTCCCCCCCTCCCCTTCCCTTTCCTTACATTTAAATATGGTGAACATCACAGTTTGACCTAGATTTTTAAATGCTAGAAATGGCATGACTGTACGGTCAATCAACATCTTTGAGTACCATGTAAATTGAAACCAGAGCTCATCGATATTGATGTTTGAGTTTGTTTCATGACTTTTGATTAGTACTGTGCACTTTAGATGCTATGATAAGATGATATTATTTTTAAATAGTGTTAGTAATGGAGAAACAAAAACGTGATGGAGCCTAGCCTTTGCTGCAGATAGCTGTAGGATCCACTAGCAGACATAGAAGTAGTCTGCTGGGGACTGGAGCCTGACCAATGGCCCACTAGTTCTTCCTATGGGGAAAGCACTGACATTTGTGATACTTTAGAAAAATAATATACCCACAGTTTCTTTGATAGGATTCTTGTAAGCAGTCTCCTGTTTCCATGCTGTGTTATGTTTATTAGATAACTAACATAGACCAAATAATTTTTAATTTAAATTCATAGGAAGAACTAAATGCAATCAATTTAAAATTTAATTAACCAATCATGATTTATCTTAATAATTACCTCAGGCAAACCTGACACGAGTCTAACATTATATTAACCTGAGAAAAAAGGTAAAGGAAATATATTATATATCTTCAAGGAACTGTGAAACAATGAGAGATAAATAGAAGACCACATTTAATCAAGGGAAACCTACCCAACACTGAAGAACAATGGGAGCTCACAAGCTAAAGTAATGCATGTAAAGTTTAATCATGAGGAAATTTTAAAGTGCCAGTGGGAACTAGAGGTTGATTAAAATTTTAAAAATATATAAACTTGAGCACAATTTAGGATTGTTTGGTATTTAAATGCTAAGCTCGGGATATTAATGTGCCAATAGATCGGTGCAAAGGAAAGGAGAACACTTTTACAGGCTGCTCATCTTCACTTTGCTTATTCCTCCCATCCATTCCAGAAACTGACCTTCATGCGTCCTACTTAGGCCACTGCTTTCTCTGAAAATCTTGAAACTTCGATGGTGAGCTGTTTTCCCATTGGAAGCAAGGTCTCCTGAGAACTGAAACACAGAACAAGGTGAGCATAGTTTCTGGAGGGAAGGTGGAATCCTGTTGGATACTCAGAATAGCCTCCAGTCAAGTCCTAACAAGAAAGAAAATTGGACATCTGGTAAGGACAATTAAAATGGCTGATCGGAAAGCACATACAGTTGTTAAGTGGATGAAGAAGGAAACTAGATATCAAACAAAGATTTTACCACAAGTTAAGATAGACATTTCAAGGAGATATCAAAGAGCATTATCATTCATTATTTTTATAAGAAATTGTCCAATTTTCCTTATCACCACATCACTAGCTGCTAGTCTTTTTAAAAAGGAATATCCTCTTAAGAAATTAAAATTTATATGTGATGATAGAAACTATAAACAGATTCTACTTGAAAAAGAATGCCCAGAAGATTGGCGTCCTTGCCCCAGTACTCTCTGGGGAAAAAGCGTCTCTGGAGATTGCCTCGAGAAGTCACCCCCACATTGTACCCCACAACACGTTTCTTACCAGGTTTGCCTCCGTCACGGTTCTGAGAGCCTGGTCTGCCAGTCTCTCTGATTCTTCCAGCAGGTGCTGAATGTTGGAGTGGACGTGGACTGCGCTGGTAGCATTCAAAGACACATGTCTGACATTTTCAAGGCCACTATCAAATCAGCATAATTAGAGATGTTATGATAAACTAAATCAAGCCTCCAGGTTCACTCATCACTAAAATTATAAGACCTTCCTATTCCTCAAAGCCTCCCACTTTTCCCTTTAAAAAGGATCAACAAAGACAACACTACACGGCTTCCTCAATAACTCCTCGAGTAATTTTTTGAGAAAGTGTAGCCACATTGTTATCATAACAACTCACAATTGCCACTTAATTAATACTGAAAGAAGAGATCATTGCTGTCTCCTTTCTTTTAGTTCCCTCATCAATTTCCATCAGTCCCCCACCCCCCAAACCAATCCGGTTCAAACCCCACCCTGCATATGTCGGTGGAGTTGCTGCAAGTCTGTATTGATTATACCCTCCTCTGCAAAGCACTTGTTAATTTTCAACCACTTTCCTAACATAAAAGGATGCCAAGACTTATCATTCTAATGGTTACACCAATTTCATGAAATTCACTAGAGACTTTTGAGGATAAGATAATATTTCAATCAGATGAACTTCATTCTTACAAGTGGCCAAATCACTTAAGAACTTGCCAACTTGAAATGGTGTCATTTCATCCCAGCTGTATCTTGAAAGGGAAATCTGACAATTGACACATCTGTGCCTGAGTAACTCACTTCTTTTTTCCCCCAAGATTATTGAGTTGAGAGATTCCTAAATTTTTCAAGAAGTATGCATTTTAAATAGATTGAAGACATAGAAAATATTCAAACTATAAGCTCACATACAGCCTGTGTGCAGTTCAATGACAGATGCCATGGAGGAGGATTGCCAGGCTTCTCTTCTGAGGCACCTCTGAGGAGATTGTCATTTCCAGCTGTTCAGTTAGCAGCTGAGCATGTTGACCATTCGAGCACCCTAATATGTGCTCCATGTCTCAAACATGTTATATCTTTGACTCTCTGGGGAATATGTTAGCTTATACTCTGCATTGTAATGGTAGGCCTTCAGGCAGCATAAGATGGGTGGGGGCTGGGTCTTCCAGGGGCTAGGAAAGAGACCCTCAGTGCAAAGACTGCACATCCACCATCCAGGCATATTGCTGGAGTTAGGCGCTATCGAGTTGTATCCAAATGATAGCAAGCCCATAGGACAGAGTAGAATGGCCACATTTGTTTTCCTGGGCTGCCATATTTATAGAAGCATATCATCAACTTGCTCACCAGCAGGAGGGGGAGGGGGAGGGGGGTTGAAAATGCCAACCGTTCAGTCAGCCGCTGACAGCTTAACTGTGTGGCCCCTCGAAGCACCTTCCACCCACATACAAAACCACCTAATGACAAGCTCCATAACAAGAAAGTCTGCAAACAGGGAAATCCCCAGAGGTTACACAATCAGAATCATTTGAATTTCTTTCTATTGAAGTTTGCACTTTTTTAAAAAAAAATCACGTATGTGGTTACTGATGTTGTTTATTAAATTGTGTCATCAGGCATGGCAAGAACCCACTTGACACGCATGTCAAATGTGATGGGAGTCCTCATGCTTATGCAACGGAAGAAGAATGAGTCAACATTGTTGAAGTAGCAGTTCTTATTCTCTTTGATCTCACCCTCCCAACTTCCTCTAAATGAGTGGCCTTACCTGTCAAGAATGTTCGAGAGTCTTCTGAGCTCAGCAGCATGATCCTCTGCTCTGTAAACGAGGGCACGTGCTCTCCTTCGGGACATCTGCATGACCAAATCATCTACATGGCCCCGGAGTTTAGCATTCCATCGGAGTAGCTCATCCCGGTGATACTCGAGCTGCTACAAAAAGAAATTACTATTTTAAATCTATGTCAATTCAGACTCATGGGAACCCCACGTGTACAGAGGAAAGCTATGCACATTGGGCTTTCAAGGACTGTGTCATGGGAGGAGACTGACAGGCTTTTCTTCCGAGCTACCTCTGGGCAGACTTTAATCACCAACTTTTCATTAGCAGCTAAGCATGTTGACTATTTGCACCACCCAGTGTCTTCTAATAATGTACATGTGTGCAGGTACATGAGTGTATGTAGATTCTTTAGGTACAGCATTAAAACCATGCCCAGTGTACTATTAAACTGGCACTCCATGATGCTCACCTTTCTGACACGATCGCTGAAGACAAATGGGTGCATAAGCAATGTAGTTAAGAGAGCTCATGGTGCCTGGATATCAAAAGATATAGCATCTGGGGTCTTAAAGGCTTGAAGGTAAACAAGTGGCCATCTAGCTCAGAAGCAATAAAGGCCACATGGAAGAAGCACACAAGCCTGTGTGATCACGAGGTGTCGATGGGATCTGGTATCAGCCATCAAATAACAAAAGATTATATCACTGTAAATGAGGGGGAGTGTGGAATGGGGACTCAAAGTCCATCTGTAGGCAACTGTACATCCCCTTACAGAAGGGTTGTGGGGAGGAGACGGTCCAGTCAGGGTGCAGTGTAGCAATGATGAAACATACAACTTTCCTCTAGTTATTAAATGCTTCTTCCCCCCAACTATCATGATCCCAATTCTACCATACAAATCTGGCTAGACCAGAGCATGTACACTGGTACAGATAGGAACTGGAAACACAGGGAATCCAGGACAGATGACTCCTACCGGAGCAGTGGTGAGAGTGGCTATACCAGGAGGGTGGAGGGAAGGTGGGATAGAAAGGGGGGAACCGAATACAAGGATCTACATATAACCCCCTCCCTGGGGGATGGACAACAGAAAAGTGGGTGAAGGGACATTTTGGATAGTGTAAGACATGACCAAATAATAATTTATAAGTTATCAAGGGTTCATGAGGGAGGGGGGCCGGGGAGGAAGGGGAAAAAATGAGGAGCTGATACCAGGGGCTCAAGTAGAAAGCAAATGTTTTGAGAATGATGATGGAAATAAATGTACAAATGTACTTGACACAATGGATGTATGTATGGATTGTGAAAAGAGTTGTATGAGTCTCCAATAAAATGATTTAAAAAAAAACAAAAGAAAAAGGAAAAAAATAAAACCATACTCAGCACGCTAACTTACATCTAGAGCATTTCGGGCAGCATTTGCCTGGGTGGCGGCAGCATCTATCAATCCTGTTCCTCTGGCAATTAGCTCTGAAGTCAGGTTTTCTTCTTCTTGCACATGCAGCTTTTTACCCTGCCGCAAAAAGAACCTCTTAAGGATGCTTCAAGAGAAGCAAGTCAGATTCCTAGAACTGGTGAAGTGAATACTCAGAGGCTCACTTTTGAAGGCCCTGATGACGGTAGAATCTACGTGGGGGTATGTGATCACCAGCTCTCATGAAGGAGGCCAGCGTGCCTTACAACTCACCGCAAACTCCCTCAAGTTGGCACTGATAAGGCGGAGCAGGCGGCCGCTTTCCTGGGTCTTTGTATCTGCTTCATGCACCAGGTCTTCTGCCACCTGCAGGTCACCGTTGTATTTTGAAAGGAGGCTGCTGGCACTTTCTTTTAATACCTTCAGCTCTTCTTGTGGCTTCTGGTAATTCTTCCGAATTTGTGATAGTAAATCTTCAGCAGCTCTGATAGACATACATGGCTCAAATAGTAAGTAAGTGGGCAATAAAGTTCAGATCTCTGGAGTGGCATATATGGAATATTTATATATTCATCACTTCTTAGAGTCATAAGTAATAAACTATAACCTCTCAAAAACAGTTGTGCCAAAAAAAACCACAGTTGTGCCACGACACTCCCAGGTAAGCCGATTTACACTTGAGTTTTAACAAACTGTCTCCATACACAAGCTTTTTAGCCCATTTTAGTAACAGAATTAAAAGAAGTCTTCTCAGTGACCCCCGATTCAGAAAATTGGAACTACAATCTATTTGAATGGTGGGAACTGCAATCTTCCATTATAATGGGGTAAAAATTGAAAGAAAGCTATTCAATGATTTGCCAAGAATTTTCCAATACATTTACAGGATATAAAAGTCTTTCTGCAGCTAGATAAGAAATAAATTTTGTAAAACCAGTCAAATTGCCAGATGGATACAACTTGTGCATTGGTAAATGCAAACTTTACCAATCAAAAGATATTTTTTTCTTTTTCTTTATATATATACTATAAATTTATTTATTTAAATCCATTTTTAATATTCATAGTTACACAAAAAACACATTTCCACCCTACAAATCTTTGCAGTGGTTAAATATATCCCAATAACTCTCTGCTTCAAGCCATTGGGAGAATTGCAAACGCTTTGTGGAAAATGCCTTGTAAACACACACATTGCTCACAGATCACAGGTCACAACAGAGAGCGCTTTTCAATAATGTATGGTCTAACAAACTTAAAACAATGTCAGGAGTTATTTGATCTTTTTGGTAATTTTTTATATTAATAATGATATTATATTTTGACATAGTTAATAAGGACAAAGTAAGCATGTGGTAAATATACAAGTAGATCCCATATACTTGTCTACTGGTGAATTTATCATTCTTTGGAATTTGAAAAATTCCTTAAACGAATTTCAAGGAGCAAGAGCAAACATGAAAAAGAGGGAAAAGGTAGGCGGACCCACAGTGTTGTACTGGCGTAAGGCTAGACCGATGGAATCACATTGAAAGGCCAGAATTTAATCCATACATCTGTGGTCAATTTTCTTTTTCTTTCTTTCTTTTTTTTTACATTCCCCATTCAATTGGGGAAATAATAGTCTTTTCAACAAATAGGGATGGGGAAATGGATTTCTGCATTTTTTTGCTGACCAAATCTTGCTCAACAATAAAAAATTAATTCAAAATGTGTCAATGACCTAAATATAAGAGCTAAGATCACATGATTCTTAGAAGAAAATATAGGGGTGAAGCTTCCGGACTTGATTTTTGATCCTGGATTCCCAGACGTGACACCCAAAGCACGCCAACAAAAGAAAATAATCATAGAAAGGTTAGATTTCACAAAAACGATACACTTTTGTGCAACAAAATACCTCAATAAAGAAATAAAGACACGACCTACAGAATGGAAGAAAATATTTGAGAACCATAGTATTTATGATGAGTTTGACATTCAAAATACATTAAGAATCTCCATAGATCAAACTGCGCCGATCTGACCCCACCACACTGAGGCAAAACACTAAGGGTGTGCAACAGAACAGCAAGGGGAACAGAGCAAGGAAGTCCCCAGGAAATACCAAAAATGGGCTTTGGGGTCAGAATGTGGCACCCCATCAGACTAGACTGGAAAACACTCCTCAAGACCAACAAGCAGTCCTTGAACTAACTACAAGCTTTTGTTGTTGTTTCTTTGTCATTGACTTTTTGCTGTTGTTTTGTTGCTTTGTTTTGCTCTGTCTTGTTTTTGTGCATGTTATTATCTCCGCAGGTCTGTCTAAATAAAATAGACTGGATGAACAATCTGGAGGAGAAAACAACAGGACTGACGGTTCTGGGGGTACATGGGAGAGGGGGAGGTGTGGGGATAGGAAGTGGTGTTAACAAACCCAGGGACAAGGGAACAACAAGTGATCCAAATTGGTAGTGAGGGTGTAGGAAGCCTGGTAGGGCATGATCAAGGGTAATGTAACTGAGAGGAATTACTGAAACCCAAATGAAGGCTGAGCATGATAGTGG